CCGTGACCCTCGACCCTGGGCTCGATCATGCCTTCGATCGTGGCCCTCGACTCTGGGCTCGATATGGGCTCACATCTGGGCTCGATTTCTGGCAGAAGCAAATTTCCAACAGAAGAAAATTGCAGCAGTTGTTGTAGTTCAAATTTTGATCTGTTAACCATCCGAAACTCACCCGAGGCCCTCGGGACCTCAACCAAATATACCAACAAGTCCTAAAACATCATACGAACTTAGTTAAATCCTCAAATCACTTCAAACAACGCTAAAACCATGAATTACACCCCCAATTCAAGCCTAATGAACTTTAAAATTTTTAATTTCTACAAACAACTCCGGAACCTATCAAATCACGTCCGATTGACCTCAAATTTTGCACACAAGTCCTAAATGACATAATAGAGGTATTCTAATTTTCAGAATCGGATTTCGACCCCGATATCAAAAAGTCAACCCCTCGGTCAAACTTCTCAAAAATAAAACTTTCGGCATTTCAAGCCTAATTCCTCTACGGACTTCCAAATAACATTTCGGACACGATCTTAAGCCCAAAATTACCATACGGAGCTATTGGAATCATCAAAATTCAAATTCAAGGACGTTTATATATAGGTCTATATCCGGTCTACTTTTCTAACTCAAAATTTTTAATTATGAGACTAAGTGTCTTATTTCACTCCGAGTTCCTTCCGGACTCGAACCAACTAACCCGATATAACATAATATAGCTGAATAACTCAAAAAAAGTAAGAATGGGAAAAACGGGGTTATAACTCTCGAAACGGCCGGTCGGATCGTTACACTAGTTCTTCACTAGAAAAAGTGGCGGAGGCAATATAATTTTAATTAATCGACTCTTCAAGTAATTTCGAGATAATGGGTTCCATTTGTTTTTTTTAAAATGAAATGAGGATAAGATGGGTATTTAATGGAGCTTTTGTGTAGTGGTTTTTAAAGGAAGGTGGTGACTTCTGGTTGTTTGGTTATAGTGAAGAAAATTTTGTAGCGGTTGAATTTCTCTTGTTTCTATTTTGTATGGCTACCAGTAATTGTAGAATAGTGGTGAGATGTCAATGTGTGAGGATAGTCTTACGGATGAAAATAGGGTTCTATTGGGTGAGATTTTGAAAGGATGATCTTTGTTGGTGGTTAGGGAATGGTTCACGGTGGTGAGATACAGAAAAAGGTTGTAATGGTGGCTATGGGTTGGTTTATTGAGGCATTTTGGATTTTTTTTTTTATCAATTTTAAAAATAAAATACTTTTCGAGAAAATAAAAAATGGCGTGGAATAATCGATAAAGTGTAAAATGACAGAAAATATTAGGTTTGGGCGGTTAGTCCTATTTTTCAATAGTTTATTTTCCTATGTGGCGCTAGTAATGACGTGGCGTCCTACGTGTAGGAGATTATATTACACGCACTGGTAGCCTCCTGTCATAAGAATATATTATACACGGTTTGAATGAGTGTAAGTGTTCAATTGGCAAAATGATAAGTTTGGGGACCGGCATGACAAAGTGGCATAAGTATAATTGTCATTTAGGCTATTTGGCCAATGATAAATGACAATAAGTATCTGGGACGGAGCTAGAATATTGATTACGGTTGCCTTGCTCCAAATTTTGTATTTATTTTAAAAACTTATCAAATATGTACAAAATACAACAACAACAATAACAACAACATACCCAGTATTATCCCACACCATGGGGTCTGGGGAGGGTAGTGTGTACGTAGACCTTACCCCTACCTTGTGAGGATAGAGAGGTTGTTTTCAATAGACTCTCGGCTCAGAAAAATATAAGCACCACATTAATAAAAATATAAACAAGAAGGGACAGTACCACAAAACCATATAAAAGCAGAATAAAAATAATAAAGATAGTAAATATGTACAAAATATTAATTTAAAACCAATAACTTTAAAAAATTAAAATCTTGAATTCATAAGTTCTTTAAATCATAGCTCTGCAAGTACTATGTGTTGTGCATGTAACATTTGCACGCAAGTGTCTTTAATTTCCTTCACTAATAGGAAGGGGGGAAAGGCTGTGATGGATCTACATGGTCACTTGTGGGTGGTCAAGCGCCCATTATCTTTAACAAGATTTAGTAAATTTGTATAAGCAATTATAAGAATATTTTGATAAATATTGGAGTGAGTATTTATAACTAAACTTATTTTTCCTCTTTTTTTAGAATTTTTATCGGCGAGTACCTGCGACTTTAAAATGGTGAATCCGGTTAGGAGAAAAGGTGCATAGCAATAACTACCCAAAATAAGTTTGACAAGACAACTATTAAAGATGCATCTGAACTGATTTGAACAAAAAGAATGTCATTAACACTCACATGCATGATGCATCCACTGAGCTGCTAAAAACTAAGGTTCTGGAAATCAACATGATGCTTGTGAACTCTTTTTTAACCAGTCAACCTCACAAGCTATATGAGACAAGTTATTTCTAGTTATTTTTAACTTTTTTTTATTTATTACGGGATAAGGGAAGAGGAAAGGGAAAAAGAGAAAATCAAGAATTGAACCCCACATTATAAGTGAAACTATCATGGAGAAAAAATTCATACATTGAGGGTGTGTTTGGTACGAAGGAATATGTTTTCCTTGAAAAATATATTTTTGGAAAATAAATGATTTTATTACTTATTTTCTTGTATTTGGTCAGATAGCAGAAAATATTTTTAAAAAATATATAAATTAGCTAAACACTATATGAGATGAAATGNGAATATGGTGGGAAAGGTTGAGAGAGTTTGGAATTGAAGAAAAATGAGTTCATAGAAAAATATTTAATTTAACCCAATCAAACATGTAAAAATTAAAAATTTCCTTTGCACGCCATGATATTTGGATCTCACACAGTTATGTTACATAACTTATGTATAAGATAAAAGGTGAGTCAATTTTTCACCATTCGGTTCTTTCATAAAATATAGTAGGTTGTCTATATGAAAGTTGCATGTATGACCAAGATTTTTGCCTAATAGAAAGGTCAACGTTCTTTATTTTCTTACTTATCAATTTGAAAGTATTCACTAATAAAAAAGCGTTTACTTGCATTTTTGGTTCCTCAATAATTGATATGTTTTTATTTGGTTTCATGAATCATGACATACGCATAAGAAGTTAAGAACTTCAATTAATCAAAGTGTATATTGTTAATCCCTTTACATTAATGAGCTATATTATAGTGGGATTATTTTTATAACTGTATTAAATACCCTCAATGTGAAGTACAATTACCAAATATTTACTAACTAGCAAAATCATGGATAACTACATGGTTTTAGCAGATAATAATCCATTAATTCTGAGATATTTTCACAAGTAAATGGATCGAGATTAAAATATACATTTTAATTAATTAAAGATTAAAAACACGCTACAAAGACCAAACTAAAAAATTTATCAACGTAACAAAAGGCTCAATTTTCTCAATAAATATGGTTGAAGAACCTTATATGGCTAAAAAAAAAAAAAATTAATTCAAACATATTTTCTTCCTTTGTACACAATGCTTTAATGTTCTCTCCACAAGAGGACACCATCCTCCTCCTCTTCTTCCCCAATTTGACTCGGGTTCTTCTCCACGTTGAACCCGACCTTTCCCTCGTCGCCGTCCTGTTAACGACGGCGAGCAAAATCTCCTCTATACGCTATCAAGATTTGTCACCATTTTATTAAATTCCACAAATTTTCAAAATGGGAGCCTTAAAACCATTTCAACTCTTGGAAATAAACATTATTTCCGCCCAAGATTTGCAACCTATTTCCAAGAAAATGAAAACCTACGCCACCGTTTGGGTTCACCCTACACGGAAACTAACCACCGCCGTTGACGTCGAAGGCGGCAACAACCCTACGTGGAACGATAAATTTGTTTTTCGGGTAGATGAAGAATTTCTCCGGCAAGACACCTCAGCTGTACAAATTGAGATTCATTGTGTCCATTGGTTTAAGGATTCTGTTGTCGGCTCCGTTCGTGTCCTCGTCGGAAATCTCATCCCTCCGCCGCCTCGGCCGCACCATAATCACCATCATCATTTTGGCATGCGTTTTGTTGCACTTCAGGTTCGGTCCATTTCCTGCTTCATTTCTATAAATTCCCTTTTTTGTGCTTTTCTGTTTTCTCCTTTCTTGTGATATAGGAGTTTTTGTTGACGTACGTGCATGCGTAAAATTGCATGCTTAATTTCAATTCCATTCTTCACCTTTTTGTCTAATTTCACTATAATTTTTTTGCACTCCCTTTATACCAGAAGAGACCAGAGGCGGATTCAGAATTTGAAGTTTATGGGTTCCTGTCGTAATTTCAAATTAATATACCATAATAACTGGGTTTACAGTTAGATATTTGTAGATATTTAGTAAATATTTTAATAAAAATACAGGATCTACGCAAAAGGTACTGGGTTCCCGAGAACCCATACACTATACTGTAGATACGCCCTTGTGTCCCAGTATATGTGTCATACTTTTCTTTTAGGTTGTCCCGAAAAGAATATCATATTTTTGTAATCTCTAAAAAATTTAATTTTAAAATTCTTATTTTACCCTACTTAATGAGATGATTTATGACTACACAAATGTTTATGACTTGTTTTAGACCATAAGATTCAAAAACCTTTTTTCTTTCTTAAATTCCGTGCCTAATCAAACATCATCACATAAATTAGGACGGAAGGAGTTCTATCTCCTTTTATTTCCTTCTAATACTTTGGTGTTAGGAATTTTTTGCTTTGTTCTAATAGGTTTTACTGTACGCGCCAATGTTAGGCTCATGCTTAAAAGATTTATTATCACGAGTTAAAAATCAAGATACCAATAGATAGCTTTGTTACCCTCTTTAAATAAATGAAGATTTCATTGAATATCAGATGTTACTTACAATGTCGTCTAGTTAGAGTTTTTGAAAATGTTAATTAATTGGTGAAAATTTGTGGCTATAACTAAACGGTTCAAAAGTATTTCTTTGATAATTTGTATTTTGTAACTTCACATTTAAAAGGTCAACGTTTTTTTGGTTTAGGTACGTCGTCCATCTGGACGACCTCAGGGGATATTGAACATTGGTGTTGCATTACTAGATAGTACTATGAGAAGTATGCCATTGTACACTGAACTAAACAAGTCAGCTGTTGGATATCGAGATTTGATGGAAGAAGAACAGCTCTCTCAACATAACCAAAAACCAAATGGCGATAAAAGCAACAACAACAACAATAACAATAACAATAATAGTAACAGTAATAATAACAACAACAACAACAACAAGGTGACTACTATTAAACCAATATTGCTACGAACAAAGAGTGAACGTAGCGAACGTGTCAAGTTCGATGATGTTTCAAAGGCTAATAGTTCAGTAGTTGCAGTTCCCTCAAAAGTGAAGAGGGCATATGATAAAGAAAGCTCAATTCTTAGTATTTCTTTGGAACCTCCACCTCAAATGATGGTGAAAAAGAAAGGCAAGGCAAGTTCTGTGATTAGTGGTGCAGAGTTAAAAGAGAAATCAAAGCCCAAAGGTAAGAAAGGTAAAGCAGGCTCAGTTCTAAGTGATTCAATTATGAGCAAAGAGTCATCTATTTATAATGGGTCCAAAGAAGAAAAGCCCAAACTCAAACTCATAGCTTTAGAGCTTGAGAACAAAGAGAAGCCCACAAATGAAAAGAAGCCTACCAATGACTCATCAACAACTAAAGTAGTTGATGAAAAATCTATTACAAAGCCCAAAGGGTTGGATGCTAGTGGTAAACAAGATGAGCCCAAAGAGCCCATAACAGTAATAGGAAAGCCCATTCCAAAATATAGTGGATATGAATTTGGAGGCCCAAAAGGGTCAGGACACAATGGGAAATTTGTATTTGGAGGCCCAATTAAAGGAAATACTCATCATTGGACTGACTCAGAAATTGGGCCCTCAGCATCCGAGGTCGCGGCAGCCGTAGCTGAAAAGAAATATCCATTGGAGGATCAAAAGAGCTCAGTTTTGGATGGTTGGAGTTTGGATGAGAGCACTGAAGGGCTTAGGTCTAAGCTCGAGAGGTGGCGAATGGAGTTGCCGCCAGTATATGACCGTGGGCACACCTCGACTAGCTACCATTCGACCGGCCGTCACACGAGAAGGCACACACATGGGTCAAGTGGATTGTTTTCTTGTTTTGGTAACATAATGGGGTATGAATGTCAATGCATTTGTGGTAAGCCCAAAAGGAAATATAGCACAAGGTTCTATAGCCCATCAGTTGGCAGCAGATCATGGTTTTGAAAAAGCCCAAACCAGCTCAATTTTTTAAGGCCCAAGTTGTATAACTATGAAGCAAAGCCCATTTCCGTCCAGTTGCTGATCAAACATGCTTTTGAATTCTTGGGCTATTCTTACTCAGGTCACTTTTCGCATGTACTTGTTTATTATTTTCGGTCAGATTCAGAATTTTCGTCAATATATAATACTGCTGTTTCAATGCATTTCAAACTTAACACTAATATTTTTATTTAATGTATTTTTTTAACTAAATATATAGTTGAGCTTGCAACC